TCCATATGGAAGAAAGAAAGATGAATATTAATTTTTAGTAAATAGCGATAGTTTATCACTCATCATTTTATCCATTGCATTTGTCTTGTTTTATAGGAGTACAAAAAGTGGTTTATGTTGTTTAATAGGAGTACTAAAAAGTAATATGAATAAACTGAGAGATATTTGAATTGGTTAAAAGTTTAAAATTTTAAATTATAAATATTAAGTTCTAATTTTAAGTTAGTTCAAAAAAATTAAAAAAGGAGATAAGATTATTTTATTTTATACAATATATATAATATTTTTCTTTTATATATAATATATATCCAATAACAATTTTTTGTATTTTTATATATTTAGAAGATTAATGATTCTATAAGGAGGGAGAAGGATTTGGTCTCCTAAGAAAAACAATTACCTTTATGTATAATGTTAGATCTTATATTTAGAGAATATATATAATTAACAACATAGACAATAGATCATAAGCAAAGAAGAAAAAATGTTTAAATTTAAATTTTAAACTAAAATTTTTTATAGAATTTATCAAAATAGATTTCAATATCCTACATAAACGATCTTACTTTTACAGAATTTTTATTTCATTCAAATTTTGTCCTTACATAGGGGAGATTAAAAAGAAGAAAACGATGAAGATACATACTAGAAGAAGGAAAATGTTAAGAGTGAAAATGAAAGAGAAAACTCATGAGTAGTAATTATAAGTAAATTCTTAAGATTGATTAAAGATTTACATTTAAGAATATTAAAATTAATTAAGAATGCTTTCATTATTGTATTAAATGGAGAAAATGCATAAGAGGAGGGGAATGGAAAACGTTAGGTCCTTTCATTAGGAATTAGAAAGGTAGAAAAAAAATGAAGTTTAAGGACCAACCTTAGATTTTTCTTATTTCTTTCGCATTTCTTTATTTACCTTAAATTTCTGATATTAAATATCTAATTGTAGATTAGGTAACCAACCATAAATCAAATTTCATGCACAAGGACCTTTGCCTAGGAATGAAGTCAATTAAACCTTAAATGAAATAATAGTATAATATAAAAAGAGCATATATACTTGAATTATGAGATAAAGATTATTAAAGCCAATTTTAAACTATATGTAGAAATTTTATAAGGATAATAGTATAATATCCTTCAGTTAGGTTTTCTCAATTCTCCTAATATCCTTTCTTTTTAATGTGGCTCTTCACAATTTTTTGAAAAAGTATTATTGACAATGAGCAATTTTCATCTAACTTTAGTCATTTAATTAGAATTTTTTAACTAAAAAATTATTATAAAATTTAGTAATTAATAAAAAATAGTATAAATTCAACATCTAATATAAAAATTATAAAATAACCCGTGCAAAGCACAGGCAAGAAAAAACTAGTTTAAAATTTAAAATTTACTCTCATAATTATATTAATGATATCTCTTAATGATATGACTTACAACTTATAATATCTCTATCATGATATAACTTCGTGTAATTGAGTATAATTTTGTTTTGTTATATATATGAAAAAATTATATATCAGTCTTGACTCTCAAAATAAATTAGAGACTTAATTGAAATGATGTTATTTTATTTAATTATAACTCAATTTAAAATTTAAAAATTTACTTCATTAAATGTTGATATATAATTTGAAAACTGATTATATTAGAATATATAATGTGTTTTCAAAATTGAATATTAATATTTAATAGGATGGATTTTTAATTTGAATTCATATTTCAATTTTCAAATTTAGGTTGGATCTCTAATTTTCTTTTTCAAGAGTCAAAATTGATAATTGATATGCATTGTCTTATATTCCTATATATATATATATATGTGAGCAGAAATTTATTTACACATTATATTTACATCAAATCTTAACCATTCATCTCTTCAGTTTTAATAGTTAAGATTTATTTACATCTTTCTAAATAAAAAATAATTATCTTTAATAAATATAATAAAAAATAAATAAATCTTAACTATTGAAAGTGAAAAAATAGATAGTCAAGATTTTTTATAAATGTAGTGTATAAAATTTATATGTAAATGGATCTCTACTATATATGTATTAGTACTAAACCCCTTAATATTTGGATGTCATATTGGATCTTAATTAATTTAAAGTTAAGTGATGAGTTAAATTTATATACATACTAATGTAGAAATTTTGCCTTGATTTTTTTTTTTGGTACATAAGAAGTTAAACAAACACTAAGTCCTAAGGAATAATGATCCTATGCTGTCTCCGTGGAGAATACTTTGCATGCCCGGAGGTGGCGTCTGGAAGTAGGTGATGCCTCTATTAAGGTTATGGCCAACAGATGCCATAAAGTCAACTGCAGAGTTTCCTTCTCGCAACGTGTGCTGGATTGTGCAAACCTCGAAAGAACTTGCTAAATGAAATTTTGCCTTGATATTATTGATATTTGGGTGAGTTTGATGAGATTTTACTTGATGTTTTTATAAATTTCATTATTTATGTAGAAAGGACTTAATTGGAAGAAATCATAATTTTTAAGAGTAAATTGTAGAGATGAAAAATCCAAGAATTAAGTTATGCAGAGTTCAAAAGTTAGGGATCAGGATTGTCATTTGACTATCAACAGAAATTGCTTAGAAAGTCAAAAACCCGACATGGAGTGTTGAGCGTGGATACAGTAAATGTGTCGGCATGTTGTTGAGGGTGTTCACCTCTTTTGTGATTTCAACAAGTCTGTGGCTGCTCTTAGTGTTTTGGTGTGAATTCCACTTCCATTTCAATTGGGTTTTTTAAAATTCTATAAATATTTATGTAAGTTCAAAATTAAAGGGGCTTTGGAGGCTAATGGCAACTTTCTTTTAGACACTTATAAATATCAATATAGAGAATTTATCAACAATAAGAGATCAAGAATTTTAATTTTCCTAAATTGAGTTTTGTTTTTTATTAAATTACTTTTATCTATTATTTGATATTTGAAACTATAATTTTAGGTTTTATTATTGTTATTATTAACTAATTTATTTAACTAGAACTACAATGTAGTTTAATCAATTCAATATAGGTTTTTATAATTTTTATATTTTTAAGATTGTTATTTCATGATGACTATATATTATTATTTTTAATGCTTCTTAATGCTTTATATTTTTGAGATTGCTATTTCATAATAAATATATATTATTATTTTTAATGGTTTTTAATGCTTGATCATTATTAAAATTGATATGAAGAGTATAATTGAGACCAAGAGAAGATTTTATATAATAACTTCTAATAATATATACCATGAATTAAGTAAAAATCAAAGATGGACCCACATAATTTGTGCAGTATTAATGATAAGTAGACTTAATTTTCTATTTAAACTAAGAAATTTCATAGAATATAATATATTTTTATATATTTAAATTTACATAAAGATATAATGGATTAATAAGTGAAAATAAATTTAGTGTAACTTAAGAAAATATATCGAAGAAAATAAAAAATCTCACTATCACATGAGTAGTAACATCTTAAAAGTATAATAATCTAATTTTTATGATAATTAATTATAGTAAAGCCAATGTCTTAGTACCTCGTATCTTAGTTAGTTATATTTTAATTGTTATTTTTTTTATTATTTTTAATTAAAATTTTTTTCTTTTCGATGTTCAAATAAGTCTAGTTTAATTATTTTTAATATTTAATTAATCACATTTTCATAAGTTTGACACTTTACTCATCATTATATTATTTGATGTTATTAGTTATTATTTGATGTTATTAGTACATTTGTTAGAGTGATTTTAGTACATCATCAAGCCAGATTGGACTCCATAAAATGGAAGCTCTCCAAACACGTATTTTTATTCAAAAGACTTAAATTCAAGATTTTATTTAAGAAGAATTAAACTTTTTTTCACTTGAACTAATATATCATTAGTTATATATATATATATATATTACTCAAATATTTATGCGTTTATGATATTTATATATTATTGTAATATTACCATAATAGAAAATGAAATTTATTTTTTTATTCTATAGAAAAACATTTGAAACTATAGTCAAATACATGTACGTGGTCAACAAAACACTTAAACATTGAGTGTTAGTTAATTGTTTGACATCACTTTGCAGTGTTAAATATGTGGAATGTTTATATTTTTTTGGATGTAGCGTAAAATATTATTTGAAAAAAAATTATTTTATATTTTATATAGACATTTGACAATATTAATTTTGTGTCAATTAATTTTTTGATATCCTATATTAACTATTTGACATCGTATGTCTATATACCCAATTTTTCTAGCAGTGTAAATAATTGGATCTTTCATTAGAAAACAGTCACTTGAAGGATGGATTTAGGCCATTCACCTTTATACATCAATGAGAACATAATAAAGTCAAGATTGCATATCAAGATAATTAGTGTTACCTTTGAGTTTAGCATAAGAAATTGAAAAAATGAATGAGGATAACCAAATTACAAGTGGCAGCCCATCAGCTTATAAAGTCAATTTAAAAATAATTTAAAAATGAAGAATATCCTAACTAAAGCAAAAAGTCTTTGCCAATAAAGTTATACGCATTTGTTAGAAAATTTAGATATTTTCATTTTATTATCTCAAAGAGAATATAACTTAATCAAGATCAAAAAGTTAGATGGTATACCTGTATGTTTCACCAAAGAAATTGTAGAAAATGGATAATGATAACCAAATCAGTGAGGCCAAGAGAATTAGACGTAGTAGTAAATCAATTCAATTGCAAGGCTACTTCTGTTAGATGACAAAAATTGTAGCCGGCTAAGCAGAAGAGGGAACTTGTCCAAATTATAGTTGGAAATTTCCTAGAAGATGCCTGGAAAATGCCAATGAAATGAATCTGCAAAAAGATATCCAATGAGGTTATAACAAGAAAGGTGCAAAATTAGTTTGTTATTATAAAGTGATCAATAATTATGCAACTGTTTCCTATTATAACATATAAAAGAAAGACCTAGGTATGGAGGGGAAAGACAAAATGATGACATGTCATGTGATAAAGTTTGATTAATTTATTTCAACTGAAATATAAAAAAACTAATTTCATTCAATTTAAAAGTATAAGAGGAGATTTATTTTAAGATAGATAAAAATATATTTCGGTAATCCTAGAAGTAAATGGGTAAATACATTATTTTCATCTTTTATCTATTCTAAAATAAGATTCAATCATTTGTCTTCTCCTTTAAATAAATATTTTCCTCACTATTCAATATTTTCAAAAAAATTTATCTTTGAAAAAGATGATTTAGTTGTTAGGAATCCCTTCACTTACTTGATTAAAACCCAATAAAAATTAAGGACATTGGTAATTAGTCTTGCAAAATGTAAGATGCAGTAAATGATTTAACATTGTTTAAGGTGATAATTTTGTATGGGAGAGACTGGCTGGAAAATATATTTCAACAACATATATTTAATAAGTCTCTAATAGAGTAATGATGTGACATGATGTTATTCTATGCCTTGCACCAAAAATTTTTTTAGTTAGTTGTCTCATCCAATTAATTAGCAGGGCAATTTACCTATGTTTTGTGTAGAAGGTTGGATCTATCAACTATAGTTAAAAGGTGAATTTAGACATTCTATCTTTATATATCAACCAGAACATAAGATAATCAAGATTGAAAATAAAAATAAATAACGTACCTGCGAGTTTAGTAGATGGAATTGAAGAAACAGATGTCCATTAAAAGCAGCAGCCAATCACAAGTCTAGTTATTAATAACTAGAGGGATGCAATGCATATTTCCTAGAAGATAATCATGATTTAGAAAGATCTCGAGGAGATACTTGTATATTTACTAGAAGTACTCAAAAAAGAGAACTCACATTATTAATTAAGTAGTTACTAATTAATTTGGTAGAAG